ATTTAATAATAAATTAGAAGTTATATAATTTATTAAATGTTATTTAAATTAAAATCCCACTTGTAGCGAAACATGCCTTTAAAATTTACTGTCCTTCACTCCTCGCCTCTTTAATTCGGTGCCGGATCCAATGCTGTGCTCTTCCCATACTACTACGCCGTACTCCTTCCTCTCGGCCCGCCGGAGCTTCCTGCCGAAGCCCGCCGCCACCGTGCATAGCTTCGCCGGAACGCCTTCCGACCACTTTTTCTATCCGATTCGCCATCTTCATTATTCTATTTGTGCTACTGGTACTTTTTTTTTTCCCTTCTCATTTCTACATCTTCTTCCCTCAATGCATTCAATCTATTCCCGCTGTTTCCTTGCTGATCTCTTGCTCACTTGGGCATCGGGCCATTGCGGAAGCTGTCACCGGCTATAGAAAAGATGGCGAAGAGAAGGACGGATTTGGTGGTTTCGAATTTATAGAGGTAGGCTACATAAGTAGCGTTCACGGGCTTAAAGGAGAGCTGCGAGTGAAATCCAATACGGGTTTTCCAGAGATTAGGTTTTGTGAGGTGATCGCGTTTCCGGTATTGACTCTAGCCCCTGTTATTCTTATGTTTCTCATCGTTGGATTTCTGACCTGCAGCCTGGGAGAAGGTGGCTTAGAGCACGAATTTCAGGTAAGGAAACAATTTCTGAACTGGTGCTTGCAGGGGGTAGAAGCCATCCTGGAAAGACGTGTTGGATCATCAGTTTTGAGGGGATTGATGCTGTGGATAAGGTTTGTTTTATAGGACTTGCCTTTATTTTATTTACTGCTTTACAGACTGCGTTGTACAGTTTAAAATGTGTTAGATGAGCATTGTGTGATGGCCACATCCATTCACGGTTGATTAGTTTACTATAGTTTGCTATACATTCTATTTTTAGCATAAAAAAATAAAGTTTCTATTGATCATTCGAGTTAGATTTCAAATATCGATTGTCGATTGATTATTATTTTTACTTCAGTAAGCGGTTAACATCTCTTTGGATCAAGCTGGAAAAAAATATTTGAATAAAGTACTTCAGTTCTATTATCCATTGGTTTATACAAAAGCAAAGAGCAACATGAATAGCCATGAAAATTTCACCTAACTTCGCTTGTGAATGTCATTTGTACAATCGTATAGAAAGGCTTGCATTTAGTGATTCACTGCGAGGAGCTTTTTAGCGTCACATCCCTGAACACATTTAAGCAAAAAAACTATAATCATAAGTTTAATGAAGTGCAATTTTATTGAATTACTAGCAAAAAAACTGTAATCATATTTAAGCAAAAAACTGTAATATTATATCTTTCAGTGTGCTTTCTATTTAGAGACTAATCATTGGAAAAAAATTGTCCAAAGTTGGAGGAGAAGAGAAAGGAAGTTGCATCTGAGATGAAAACCAATGTTTTTGTGGAAAGATGCGAAGAGACGGATTCAGATGTATCGTTATTTGCAGTTTCTCATAGTTTGCTTACATATGATTCATGCTGGATTCTGGATACATGTGTTACCTATTATTATCTTCATTGAGGATGATTCTGTACGTATAAGCTGCTAGATAACAATGCAGTAACTATGTGCAACAATCAATTTTGTCGTACTATTGGTGTAGGGAGTATTTTTATCAGGATGCATGATGATATTGTGAGAGATGATTGATGCTAAACATTTTTCATATAACATAAATAATTTGCTATCAGTTGGGGCTATAGAGTAAGGGCTACAAGATAGTTATTGAGACAAGTGTTCTGAAGGTATGTTATGAAACAATGATTTTTATGAAGAAAGTTCGTCATCACTATCTTTATTATCTTCAGAGCAGTAGAGTGACTGGAACAGCTGCTATTGCTGAAAATTCTTATGACGCTACTATGTTGTGGCATATGTGGCTAGCTCATGTTGGAGAGACTTCATTTCAGGCATTGGTGAAAAAAAAAAAGATTGATCAAAGGAGCGAGCGCTGACAAACTTGATTTCTGTGAACATTTTGTATTTGATGAGAAGACACGGGTACCCTTTGAGATTGTCATCTTGTATTTTAGAGTATGTTCACACAGATGTTTGAGGTCCGACGAAGACCATCATTCAACGGGCGGAGATACTTTCTCTTTTGTTGATGATTACTCCAGGTACGTTTGGTTGTATACCATGACGCACAAAAGCGAAGTGCTGGAGATTTTCATAACTTGGAAGATGTGGTGTATCATATCAGACAATAAGGACGAATACACTTCAAATGTATTCTTGCAAGAGTGCCAGAGAGTTGTGATAAAGCTCCGCTTCAATGTTTGAGAGACACAACAACAGAACGGGGTGACATAGAGAATGAACTAGACTTTGGTAAAAAAAGTTCAGTGTATATTATCCAATGCTGGGTTGGATATAATCTATTGGGCCGAGGCCATATAATAGACCTTTGCTTGGTGAACCGTTTGTTATCTGTTGCTATTGGGAAGAAGACCGTAAAGGAGATGTGGTTAGGGCGTCCTGCTAGAGATTATAAAGATATGAAAGTGTTTGTGTATTCAGCTTACTACGACGTGATGAATGATAAATGAAACTGTGAGCAAAGAAAAAAATCTTAATTGGCTTCAAGCGTGGAGTTTAGGGCTTCAAGCTGTATGATCAGTCAGAAAAGAAGGTTGTTATGAGCAGGGATATTACATTCGACGTGGCTTTGTTGAAAAATCGAAACTTAAAGTAGGTAGAGAGTTGTACCAGGACCACATATATGCAACAGAAGTTGAATTTTGATACATTCGACGTGGCAAGTTTTTTGAAAAATCGAAACTTAAAGTAGGTAGAGAGTTGTACCAGGACCACATATATGCAACAGAAGTTGAATTTTGATACATTCGACGTGGCAAGTTTTTTGAAAAATCGAAACTTAAAGTAGGTAGAGAGTTGTACCAGGACCACATATATGCAACAGAAGTTGAATTTTGATACATTCGACGTGGCAAGTTTTTTGAAAAATCGAAACTTAAAGTAGGTAGAGAGTTGTACCAGGACCACATATATGCAACAGAAGTTGAATTTTGATACATTCGACGTGGCAAGTTTTTTGAAAAATCGAAACTTAAAGTAGGTAGAGAGTTGTACCAGGACCACATATATGCAACAGAAGTTGAATTTTGATACATTCGACGTGGCAAGTTTTTTGAAAAATCGAAACTTAAAGTAGGTAGAGAGTTGTACCAGGACCACATATATGCAACAGAAGTTGAATTTTGATACATTCGACGTGGCAAGTTTTTTGAAAAATCGAAACTTAAAGTAGGTAGAGAGTTGTACCAGGACCACATATATGCAACAGAAGTTGAATTTTGATACATTCGACGTGGCAAGTTTTTTGAAAAATCGAAACTTAAAGTAGGTAGAGAGTTGTACCAGGACCACATATATGCAACAGAAGTTGAATTTTGATACATTCGACGTGGCAAGTTTTTTGAAAAATCGAAACTTAAAGTAGGTAGAGAGTTGTACCAGGACCACATATATGCAACAGAAGTTGAATTTTGATACATTCGACGTGGCAAGTTTTTTGAAAAATCGAAACTTAAAGTAGGTAGAGAGTTGTACCAGGACCACATATATGCAACAGAAGTTTAGTCAGATTGAGGTTGATAGAATGAAGAATCAACTGTCCAAAATTTTGAAATGAAGGAGTTTGGTGAAGCTCGCAGAATTTTTGGCATGGAGATTCTCAGGGACAAAGCAGCTGGAAAGATTTGGCTTTTGCAAGAAGCTTATGTTCGGATAATGTTGAAGAAATTTATGGTTGATGATCGAGCAAGGTAGTGAGTACTCATTGCATCTCAATTTCAATTGAGTTCTGATCAGTGTTCTAAAGATGATCATGAGAGGATAGATATGCGATTGGTTCCTTATACTGCTGCGTTGGGTAGTCTGATGTATGTCATGGTTTATACTAAACTAGACATTGCACAAGCAACTGGTTTGTGAGCAGATTTATCCATGATTCAGGAAAGAGTCATTGACAGACTGAAAAGTATTCTGAGGTATTTGAAGTGTACAGTTGATGTTGGCTTGATGTTTGAGAGACAGTCATCCAATGCAGATTTGTGTGTAGGCTGCAATGACTCAGATTATGCAGATAATATGGATAGGTGGAGATCTACGACGGGTTATTTATTAACATTGGCAGTAGGTCCAATTAGTTGGAGGTTAGTTTTTCAGTCTATCGTTGCTTTGTCTACTATGAAGACTGAGTATATGATAGTCATAGAGGCAATGAAGGAAACAATATGGATGTAGGGCCTATTGGATGACTTGGGAGTTGATCAGGAGTCTTTCAATATTTTTTGCCACAAATTTAGTTCATTATGCTCGTACCAAACACATGTATGCAAGGTATCACTTTGTTTGGGACTTGATTGAAGAAAGAAATATTCTGTTGAAGAAAATAAATAATAAGGGGGAATCTAGTAGACATGCTCATGAAGGTGCAACCAGTTTAGAAGTTCACTTACTACAAGAATTTGGTGAATTTGAGCTCAGAACTGATTGCCCAGGTGGGCATTTTGAAGAGCTACGCAAGGTTTGATCCCTTCGGGAGGGGGTATGTAGCCAACTATTATGGTGCAACTGAATTGGAGTTTGAAACTCATTTGATCATCTCTTATTTTTCTAGAAGTAAAAGATGTGGTGGAAATTATTGTATTTAATGGGTTTTTTTATATTTGATCTATTTCTTTTATTGTATGCCTAATGCTCCCCTATAAAAGAAGGATTAATGGTTCATGAGAGGTAATGGTGTGAAGTGTTAAGTTGTAACCCAAGCGGTTTTTTCTTTCTCCCATCCAGTGCTAGTAGAATGTCACTTCTCGTGGACGTAGGCGAATCGATTTAACGACGAACCACGTAAATCTTTTGTGTTTGATTGTTCTTATGTAAATTTCTACGCTTTCGCACTGTTTTCGCATAATATATTATCGGTACAAATTACCATTATAGTTTTTAACAAGAAAATTCACATTTGATTTTTTACACATTGTTTAGTCGGTTTTTTTTACTGTAGTCTTATAACTAAAAACTGAGCTATTGCTCAGTCTTAGTTTTCAAATTTTAAAATGATTTTATTTAATTTCACTAGCTCTAAATGTTGGTAGAACGAAAGTTTGTTTGGTTGGTACTGCCAATTGTTTTATTATTCCATTTATTATTTTATATAAAATTATGTTACATGGTCTTTTAATCCTCACATTGTAGAGGCATTTACCTTCTTGAATGAAAGCATAGGCGCGAGGCTACAAAATTTCTTCATATGGAAGTTTAGATACCAAACTATTCAAAACAAATAATATTTATGGTATATTCAAGAATGTAATAAATCATAAGATAAGCGAATTTTGCAAGAAAATTGGATAAAGCTGATGCCATAAAATAGATACTATGATTACAATAGATTTTGGTCAATAGTTCTGTTTTTGCCATTTTTTAAATTTGGTGATGTTCAATAATTATTAAATATGAAGAAGCTCTATTTTAGATCCTTGATAATAGTTTTGACACCATTGTAGTAAATAATATGTTGCATGTTTTAATAAACATGGACTTATTTAAGTGCAGGAGAAAAACTTATTAGAAGAATTAAAACTAGGATTGCTGAACTCATGTGCATTTATCTAAACATGGTTGTTATAAGTAAGAAATGGATAAAGTGATCTGGGGAAGGGATAGCGTGATCTAGGGAAGAAAATTGCTTCAATTATATCGATTAACAATTTATAACGCATCTATAAAATACGAAAAGTGCTTCAAATTTACCATATAGTAGGAGAATATCATGTGGAAATAAGCTTAAATTTTATAAATTCATGATTAACGCATATATTCTTTATTGATTTGAGGGTTTGACAAGCGTGGTAGAAATGAGATTCTTAAGATGAATGTTTGATAAAATTGATGTTAAATGACTATGTTAGAATTATGGCCGAAGTAGCATCAATTGCAGAGCGAGTAGTAGAATATAGACGTAGATGATTTGGACATGTACAATAAAATGAGTGGTCCAAAAAGTTGAGGTAAGGATTAAGATTCTGATATTGCGCATATAAATTATGTTTGTGTACAATCTTCACCATCCATGTTATTTTCTTTCAGGCTAAACAGATTGTGGGTTCCACCATGCTTGTACGGAAAGGAGATAGGCCAGAATTGGAGGAAGATGAGTTTTACACTCATGACCTTGTTGGAATGAGGGTCATTCATAAGGTCCAGCCTCGTCTTTTAGTTCCTTAATAGAAGATTATTATATAATTATTGTTCGTGTGATTCGCCATGGTAAAAGAGCTGCTCATGGAATTTATTTATTGTTCTTGCTCTTTCTACTGTGTGCTTTTCGTAGTGTATCAAGAAGCCATGAACTAATTTTTTCAAAAATGAAATGTGGTGTTGATTATTAATCCAGAGATATTTAATGATTAAGCTGTGAAAAAATGTGATGTTCATGGCTTCAGAATTTCACAAAATCCTCCATTATTTTTCATGAAGTTGTGAAAAAACCTTCAGTTGCACAATGTATATAATGTAATATGGAAGTCTGGCTTCTTGAAAGAACAAAAAAAAGAAAATGGATCCTCTTGTCATTTATAAATTTCAAGAATCTCCAATCCTCTTATTCATAATGTATATAAGTCCGCATACAGTTTAAGAATTGAGGCATAATGCAGCCAAAATTGAGCAAACACAACTCTTTTGTAGCTCATTTGTGAGGTCAGCTCTTAGCTGATTTTCAATTCTAATCGGTTTGCTACATTGCTTTCCAAAAGACTACCGGTGGAGCATGATTAGTAATGAACATTGTGCCATAGGTGGCCCTTTTTTTGGGCCATTTACATACATACCACCAAATTCTTATGTATTTCCATATCCAATACCTATACTTTACTTTTTACATTTATACCACCCAAATCTTGCATATCACATAAGAAATACTACTGTTTAATCTTTTAAAGAGTGAAATGCACCTTTTCTATGCATAGATAAGGTTTCATGTAAGTAAAAATGGAAGTTCAGGTAAAATACATAAGATTTGATTGGTATTTATATAAATCTTCTATTTATCTTTTCAGGAAACCGGCATGCTGGTTGGAACAGTAGCAAATGTTTTTAACTCTGGGGCTAATGATCTTCTACATGTTCATCGTTATTCAAGTGATCCAAGCAAAGAGAAAAAATATCATATTGATTCACGTTTGTCAGAAGTAGAAGCACCTGCTCAATTTTTGTGGATTCCTTTTGTTAAAGAAATAGTCCCAGAACTTGATATGGAGAGGAGAGAAATGATTATCACCCCTCCAAAGGGGCTTTTAGAGCTTAATTTGCGCAGCGACATGAGATCTAAAAAGGAAAGGCGTCAGATGGTAAGATATACTCTTATATATTCTCAAAGATTTTTTTTCTATTAATATGTCAATGCATAGTTGAAAACCTTAGCAAAATCTTGTTTACATGTAATTTTGAGGATTATATTTATGAATAGAAAAATGATCTATAGCAAGATCTCATTTTCACTCACTGGAATGGATACCTTTTCATGCTTTTGAATGCTCATTCCAGATGTTGCAAGTGGCAAATATTTTTGAATGAGAAAAGTGTCAAAATAGTCATGAATTTTTGGAGGGGGTCATTATAAAAATACCAATTTAGTCCCCCACACTTTTTTAATAGAGACTGAAATAGTCCCCACATAGGACTATTACAGTTATAATTTAAAAAATTTGGGAACTAATTTGACACTTTTATAGACTCTAGTACTATAATGACCGCATAGAAGCAATCAAGGGACTATTTTGGCACTTTACTCATTTTGTATGATTCATACGCGTAGGACACATGGTAAAATATCACGGGCATTTTCATAGTTATAAGCCTGCTAAGTTCTCAAGCTGACTGCTTTAATATAGCAAAAATCAAAGAATTGTTGCAGCAACTAAAGATTTGAGAAGTTTACCTAGATGATTTTTTGACAATGTTATCTTTATATTTCAGGAATGGAAGCTGAGAAAGAAGTTACTGCAACGTCTTACTGCAGCCAAAAGAAGGCTACATGAGATGGGGCAGAGCCATCTTCTAGATGGATTCAGTATTGGAGAGAAGAGTCAAAGAGCCATGCTTGCCAGGCAGATTGTGGACATCAATCTGAGTTTATTTCAACATGCAATTCAAAGTATAGAAAGAACTTCATTGAGGTACAGTGCTGTCTTTTTTGCCATCTCACTGTAAATTACCTAGGGTAAATATGTAGTAATCATCAAAATATATGTATTTATTGGGCTTTAACATTTATAATATGCAAATTGGCATAAACAGATGAATACCTGCATCATTATTATTAGCCTCATCCAATTTTTGGTCCAAACATATAAGCTAATTAACATCTTAATCTTTGGGATGTGGTGTTAATGTTTGACGTAAATAGTTCTACTTGTAGTATAAAATTCTTTCTATTATCTCTGAACTTCTCTTGGGTAATAGATTAAATTTGGTTAAAAGTTTAGGTTGAATCTTGCTACCAGTTGGAAATTCCCACTATGTTTCGATGATGTCTCCACCACATTATCAAGATTTCTACTTGACTTGGACTTAATAAGTCAGTTGATATTGATGATTGCAGTTAGGGGTGTAAGTGGCCGAGCCACTTCAAACTTGACTCTTTAATGAGTTCGCGGGTCGAGCTTATCGAGCCGGAAGCTCAAGCTTAAGTCTGACTATGCATGAGTGCTCATTGAGTAAGCACAATTACATTAATTGATTTTAATTGTTTGGTATAATAATTAAAATTTTATTGAATCATAAATTTTTAAAAGTGTTTATCAAAATCAAGTTTTCAAGCTGAGCTTGAGCCGGGCACAATTGCCACAAGTTGAGTTCGCACTCAAGTTACAAGTTTGAGTCAAGCTAGAGCTCGACCCAACTATACATCTCATTAGTTGAGCTCATGTTTAGTGTGCCTCGAGCTTGACTAGACTCGAGCCGTTTACATCCCTAATAGCTGTTTGTTATATGAATGTGTACTAGGCGACTTAGCTCTCTTGTCGACCTGAATAGATCTAAAAAGAAAGAACTGGATATTTTTTTGGAAGTGCCACATAAATAGTGGCCTAGTTAGCCAAATTTATCCTTATTTGTTTTAAACTTAATCCACCTTTATTGCGTTTCTTTATGAAGTAATATTTTGTGAATATCGCTCGACAATTTACATAAATTTTGTATGGACTAGCGATACAAAATTCAAGATAAACTCTTGTAACGTAATTGTCCTCATTTTCCCTATTTAATATGCACATACTCAGGAAGCTTAGAGTTCAACTTCTTAGTGCTGCAGTTTTAAGCTGCATTAAGAACCCTTTTAGGTCTTTTCCTTTGGAATGATTTACATACACACCACTCAATTCTTATGTATTTACATATCTAGCACCTAAACTTCAATTTTTACATATATTCCACCTTTTCTTTGCATGAAAAGGTGTAGTTCACTTTTCTAAAGTTAAAACTTTACATGAAAAGGTGTAGTTCACTTTTCTAAAGTTAAAATAGTGGTATTTTTTATGTGATTTGAAAGAGTAGCGTGGTATAATTATAAAAAATAAAGTTTAGGTGGTAGATATGTAAATACATAAGAATTGTGTGGCATATATATTTGTTTATGTGAAATGCGTTAAAGGGCTTGTGCAGGCGCCATTAAATTTTCTAATTGATATGGTGAAATTGAAACCAGATTAAGCCTTTTCGACTTTGTGGGGGCCCACTCAGATTTATTGTTGAAGAATGCTTTGAAGATACCTCACAAATATATCCTTGATTGTGAATATCCAGAGAAAAATGAAGAGTTGTTCAAAGAGGGACTACAACTTCTTAATCATTCAAAGGCTGCTATTATTCTTGTTCTCAATGATGACAGAAGCCTTGGAATGTTTTCTAATGAATCTGCGCTCAATAAATTGCAGCAATTACTACTTGATTACCGGAGATTATCGAAGGTACATTTTGTTCATATCTTATTCATGGATTAGTTATACAATAATGTGGTGCAATTTTATATGCTTGTTCTTTGTGCTGGTTACTGAATTGTAATTCCATGCTCACATGTATAAACCTCATATTCTGTTCTCGATTCTTTTTGGGGGCATTTACAGAAATGCCAACCAATTCCTATGTATTTACTTATCTAACACCTAAACTTTACTATTTACATTTATAACATCCAAATCTTTCATATCACATAAAAATACCACCTTTTAATTAAAAAAAAAAAGTAAAATTCACCTTTTCATGCATAGGTTAATTGGCATGTATGTACAAACTGAAGTTTAGGTGTTAGATATGTGAATACATAGGAATTGTGTGGTATTTTATGTAAATCTTCCGAACTGTTAATGAGAAAGCTACAACTAGTGTTTTTTTTTCCTACTGTTTTTTCTAAATCCTGAAGAGATACATAGTGTTATTTTTTTTTTTTGGAGCTATTTATTCCAAAAGGCATGAAGTCAAATGAACGGCTCTTTTTTTTTTTGTTTCCTTGAAAGCACAAAGAAGGATTTTTTTTGGAGCTATTTATTCCAAAAGGCGTGAAGTCAAATGAACGGCTCTTTTTTTTTTTTTTTTTTTTTGAAAGCCAAAAAAAGGAAAAAAAAAAAGCACAGTGGAAAATTTTTTCACCTCATGTTCATTTTTTTCTATTTAATACAGGAAGATTTACATACATAACACTTAATTCCTATGTATTTACATATATAACACTTAAATTTTAATTTTTAAATATATGCTACCTTACCTATGCATGAAAAAGGCGTATTTCACCTTTTTAAAGGTAAATAACTAGTATTTTTGATGAGATATGATATATTTGAATGTTATAAATGTAAAAGGTAAACTTTAGGTATGAGATATGTAAATACATATTAGTTTGGTGTTACGTATGTAAATGCCTTAATAATAAAAATTACATATGCCCCGAAACATTGCTATTTACAAATCTAGCACCCTATTTAATCCATTGTTTAGATTCTCACTCAAATATCAAAATTCACAATGAAACCACAACTCATACTTTTCATTTTTATGAAATTCTCAATGGTTTGATCATGACATGTGTAAATGCATCAGTTTGGTAGTTTTAAAAAATCAGCTGGGTGCTGTTTTTGTAAATAACAATTTTTTAAGTGCTGTGTATGTAATTATACTTAAATTTTTATTTTTATAGCCTTAGAAACTGGAGTCATACTGAAAAAACAAGCGCCTCATCCTTCGCTTGTTCCTTGAGCAATTTGGGCTTTAATTCTTTCGTTATACCTCTGGCTTGATGGTATGAGGATACCTTCTATTGTTATAGATTTTAATGTTCAATTGTAGTACTTGTATTTGATGTTTCATATTTATTCTTTGAGGCTGATTTTTATACTTGAATATCAAGGAAAACTTTTTTTCTTTTTGCTTTTTTTTTTTCTTGGGTTAAACATTTGTATCACGCAGAGCTTAAAGAGTGAGTGTTTTTTACTGATAAAGCTATGAGGGGTATTTACATAATACCACTCAATTCTTATTTATCTGAATATCTAACACCAAAACCTTGCTTTTTTACATTTATACCACCCAAATCTTTCAAATCACATAAAAAATGCCACTATTTTAACTTAAAAAAAATGAAATACATCTTTTTATACATTTGTAAGGTGTCATTGAATGTAAAAATTGAAGTTTAGGCGTTACATATGTATAGCGAGTTAAGTGTTCCTTGTCAGATAAAGGTGGCACATCAGGTAGCATGTGTTTTTTAAATCATGGAATATATTATGAATTATAAAGATAAACAAAATGAGAGAAATTATACCATTTATTTCTCATGAGTAATATGCCTTCAGTGCCTTATTGAAAGTACATATTTTAATAGAACGTTGAATCTACTTTTGTTTCGAGAAATTACATCATTCCTCAAAATACTTGTACATTTACATATCTAACACCTAAAATTTGATATTTACATTTAAAACACTTTGCTCTTAAAAGCTTATGCATGAATATGCATATTTCACTTTTAAAAAATTTGTGACAGTGTTGTTTTTGATGTGATGTCAAACATTTGAGTGTTATTTATGTAAATATGAAAGTGTATGCATTATATACGTAATTATATAAGAATTTTGTGGTATGTATGTAATTGCCCCTTTTTTTGGTATTCAAAACTAGCTGTATCTTATCTGAAGTATCGAGAAAGTATATGTTTAACCCCAAATCCCTGAATTATTTGCTTTAATTATTCTTTTCACTGACTGTAAATTGTATTGGCATGTAATTTGTGGCATGCAGTTTGGAGAAAAGTGTAATGAGACACCCCTGATTATATTGACATCAACTGGTCAGACCAAGCCAAGTGAACAACTCTTTGTAGATAATGAGTACTTTGGTTTCAATGCTGAAAAGGTGCGGCTTCGGGTTATTTGAAGATGATTATTGATTTATGCCAGAGTTGGGATCTGGTTGGGATCACTTTTGTTTTTCATTTTTTTATTTTTTATTTGAAAGATTTACTTACATACCATTCAATTCTTTTATACTTACATGTATGACACCAAAACTTTAATTTTTACATGATATATATCTACACACTAACACGCACGCGCGCGCACACACACACTCACCATCTTTTTAATGCATGAAAATGTGTATTTCTTTTTTTTCAAGTTAAAATAGTGCACGCGCGCACACACACACACTCACCATCTTTTCTATGCAGAAAATGTGTATTTCTTTTTTTTCAAGTTAAAATAGTGATATTTTTAATGTGATATGAAAGATTTGGGAGGTATAAATGTAATAGGTAAAGTTTAGGTGTTAGATATGCAAATGCGGTTTACATGTAAATGCACCCTTTTATTTTAAACCATGTTTGTTCAGTATAATTTTTGCATGTTTTTATTTTTTTATTTTAAAGATAAGTTAGATTATTTTTAAAATTGCTCAACATCTAGAAGTTATTTTGAGTGTTTTTAAAAATAACTAAATATGTTATAAAATATCAAATATATTTTATTTCAAGTAAAAATATAAATAAAATAAAATAAATTAATATAATAAATAAATAATAATAATGCTCCCAAAATGCAGCTTAATGCTTGACTCGTTTTTCTGGTCTTAGCACGTCGAGAGTGAGTTACTTTTTGTGTATTTCAGCTTTTCTCTTTCCTCCTTGCCCGGCATTTTTATTTTGTTGGCCACAAATTTATTTCAGTGGAAAGAAACATAATTTTCAAATTTGTTTCATCCGTAAATATTTATTTTATATGAACTGTGTGGTATGTGTATTATTTCATCGCTTTGGCAACAACCATTTTTGGTGGTGTAAAATATAAATTTTTTTTAAATTTGAAAATATCCCTACTATTTTACATTTCCAACCTACTTTTTGGGATTTCAGGTTTATTTTATGGAGGAAACGAAGCTCCCAGTTGTGAGGAAGTTTGCAGACAGCAATAAAATCCTATTAAAGTCACCATGGGAGATACTGCTTGCACCAACAGGATCTGGTGGAACTTTTGCTGCTCTTTCTTCGCAAAAATATGTAGATTTTCTACGGGAAATGGGCGTGGAGTATGTTCAGGTAAGAAAGTTTTCAAATTGCATCTTTCATACTAAGTCTTTTTGTCAAGTTTTAGATTGCAATAAAGGAATTTATTTGTGGTTGTCTACGAAATATTGGCTATTAGCCTTGTCATCAGAGGTTAGGTCCGGTGATGACATTTTAAATTGATTAGGGGCCATTTAGGATCACTTCTTTAGTTTTTATTTGGGACTTTTACATAGGCGCCACTCAATTCTATTTTATATATCTAAGAGCTAAACTTTATTGCTTACATTTATATCATAGAAATCTTTCATATCACATCAAAAGTATTATCGTATTAACTTTTAAGAAGCAAATTATTACTTTTCATGCATAAGTAAGATGACATGTATGTAAAAATTGAAGGTTAGGTGTTAGATATCTAAAAAAGAATTAGAAATGAGTAGTATGTATGTATATCTTCTTTTTTTTAATTTTTATTTATTTATTTTGCTTATATTTTGATTTGAAACAAAGCGTGTCTGGTATGTTAAAATAAGGCTTGATTGCTTTTCAAAATACTAAAAGTATCTAAAAGTTGTGTCCACCATAAATAGTTTTATAGATCTTCTATCAAAGCATCTGCTTGATTTACATATTAGCATTGTATGACCTAAAATCCACGTTTAATAATTTTTTATGAATAGTTTGTTAATTAGAAGAAGGATATCAATCCAATTATAAATAAGTTTAAAGCTAGTTGCAGATAAAGATGACACAAACTATATATTTATATAAATAATACTATTTTTATATTGTCACGATCCGACCTGATGTCTGAAATTTTTCATGACAGTTGAATGGTAATAATAAAAAAATTATTATTATTATTTTTTAAACTAGCATTTAATTATCACATAACAAATGAAAGAGCCACTGCAGATTTAAATAAATTAAACAAATGAAAAACTTAGCTTACACCAAGTTGTCCATATTTTCTATAAACATTTATTATTCTATTACTTATTTTCACACAAAAGCTGGGGGACCTAAAACATTAATTTAAAACAATAGTGAGTTACGTAAGTTAGTGAGTACACCTACTTCTAAACTACAGTAATATAATGAAAAGAAAATAATATGCATGATAGTCATAAGTATTATAAATCAACATAAAAGCATTTGATAATTTATTTTTTTAGATATGATTATTCATAATAGTTCAATACATCTAAAGTGTTTTATTATACCAATAACGTATCTATCTCATTTTATATCTATACAGTTGTCATATGAACATTTTCAAAAATTGTATACCCCTAGTACTATAAAAAGGTAAACTCCATCATAGTCAGCCTGTAATAGTTACTTTATAATTCATATCATTCAGTATGTACTATTTAATAGATAATAAATAAAATTTCTTATACTCAAAAGATTTGGAACATTCATATCTATATGACTAATAAAATTGAAGAGCAGATCAATCAAATTAAAGTTCTCCAAATGCATTAATCAAATATAAATACCTAATTCATGCAATTGGTTCAGAAGGAACCAAAAATATTATTATAACATACAAGTATACGTAATCATCTTGTAGCGTTCAAACTTCTAACACTTTTAAACTTCATCTCTAATGGCTATATGCCTATAATATCATAGAAAAAAAAAATAAAAAATAAAATATAATTATGCTTAATTAATCTTTCAATTAATTATATTATATTATTTGATTAGAATCCTTCATTTTTAAGTATCAATATTGCTTAATTAAATTATTAACCTTATGATTGTGTATGGTTAAATTAATATTAGGATAGGATCTTGAAATATAGGTACTCTCAATGGTAAATTAATGAAATTAGTTGATATAGAAAAATTAATATCTTATGTATTCAAGAAATTAAATGGGTTGGAGAAAATGCTAAGGAGATTGAAGGAGATTGATATTGATAATTTAGGTTTTAAACTTTGGTATTCTGGTAAGAGTCGCACTAGAAATTGTGTAGGTGTAATTATAGATAAGAGTTTGAAAGATAATGTTGTAAAAATTAATAGAGTTGGAGATAGAATTATAGTCTTTAAGATTATCATTGATACTAAGATTTTTAATGTTATAAGTACTTTTGCTCCTCAAGTAGGTTTAGATACATGGTCTAAAGATAAATTTTGGAATGAATTAGAAAACTTAATACAAAGGATACATCTTGAAGAAAGAATTGTTATTGGAGGAGATTTAAATGGACATATCGGTATAGTGTTTGAAAATTTCAGAAATACTCATGGTGGCTACGGTTTTGGAGTAATTAATGAAGAAGGTTAAGCTATTTTAGATTTTGTTTTAGTGTATGATTTTGTTATTACTAATACTTTATTCAAGAAAAGAGATGAACATCTTATTACTTATAAGAGTGAATCTAATAAAACACAAATTGATTATTTTCTATTGAGAAGAAGATATTATCGAGATTATAAAGATTGTAAGATCATTCCAAGTGAGAATTTAAGTACCCAACATCGTTTATTAGTTCTAGATTTTAAGATGAAGAGTTGAAAATAAAGGATTATAGGACTCATCATCGTAGAATTAGATGGGAGAACCTAAAATACACAAATAAAATTATTTTTATGAGTAAAATTCAAGATTTCAAAATTTGGGATGTTCATAATGAAACAAATGTTATGTGAGATAAAGTAACAAATATTATTAAACAAGTAGCAAAAGATGTGCTTAGAGAATCTAAAGAAAAATTTTTTATTAATAAAAATAGTTGGTGGTGGAATAATAATGTGCAAGAAAAGATAAAATATAAGAAGTTATGTTATAAAAATTGGTTTAAATATAAAAGCTTAGAGAACTGAGAAAAATATCAAACGGCCCGTAGGGAGTCTAAAAGAACAATCTGTGACGTCAAAAATTCTGCTTTTAATGATCTTTATAATAGATTAGATGCTAAGGAGAGTGAAAAATTTATATATAAATTAGCCAAACAAAGAGGAAAGAAAAGTAAAGATTTAACTCAAGTAAAATGTATTAAAGATGAAAATCAAAAGGTATTTTTCTTAGAAAAAGATATTCAACATAGGTGGGTGAGTTATTTTGATAAACTTTTTAATGAAGTTTTTGAAAATACGATCGACCTTAGTGATCTTAATATCATGAATAATAATAAAATGTTTCATTTTTACTGTCGCATTAGTAAAAAAGAAGTTAATGAGGCTTTAAAGAAAATCAAGGATGGAAAGTCTGTAGGACCTGATGATATCCCAATTGAAGTGTGGAAATATTTAGGAGATTTGAGAGTTTCTTAGCTTACTAAACTCTATAATATTATTTTAAAAACTAAAAAGATGCCTCAGGAGTGGAGGAAGAGTATTTTGGTCCCCATTTTTAAGAATAAACGAGATGCATCAGACTGTGCAAATTATAGAGGAACTAAATTGATGTGTCGTACTTTAAAGTTATGGGAGAGGGTAATTGAACATAGGTTAAGACGCATGACAAAAATTTCTCATAATTTCTCATAATCAATTTGGCCGGGCAGGTCTATTATGGAAGCTATGCATTTATCGAGAGGTTTGATAGAGAAGTTCAGAGATAATAAGGAGAATCTGCATTTGATTTTTATTGATTTAGAAAAAGCTTAAGATAAGGTTCCAAGAGATATACTTTGGAGAGTTCTTGAGAAGAAAGGTGTTGATATGAGATATATTCAAGTCATTAAAGATATGTATGCTAGGTTGTTACTTGTGTTCAAATTGAAGGAGGATTGACCAAATATTTTCCTATTTCTGTTGGATTACATCAGGGATCGGCTTTAAGCCCATATCTTTTTGCTTTAGTTATGGATGGTCTTACTGAACATCTACAGGAGGATGTACCTTGGTGTATGCTTTT